CAGCTGATACTCATGCCCGAACACTTCCGCTCTGAGCAGAGAAGCATCGTGAAGCCACATCTGGTCGAGCTTTGGCACACTGCTTGCAGAGCACGGAAGGATCTGGCAGGGCGGCCCCAACGGCAGTGCAGTCACGGACGGCGAGCTTGCCACATGCGACCATCTCATCGTCCTCCTCTTTCGAGCAGTGATATCGATAGTCACGGGAGGCACGAGCGCCTTCCGTCTTGACGTAGAACTGCACCTCATTGAGAGCCGTCTCATCTACGGAGTCGAGCACGACATCCTCTTCAGCCTCGAACGGGTGCTCATTGTCAACCATGTCTTTGACCAGCTGTTGAACCATCTGAGCTGGTACGCTGGTCCGGTTCCTGGTGTATTTCAACACTAGAGGACCCGGATTTTTCCAGTTCGCTTGCAGTCCGATCTCCTCCGTCGATCGACGAGCATGTACTGCAGCGTCCAACATGGTGACCCGAGCTGAGTGGGCTGTGACCTTGAGCAACCCGTCCACGGCCTCATTGAGCTTTTACCCTCAGGCCCACTAAAGTAGGTCTTGATGGCGAGCTTGCCAATGAAACGCAGCCACTGAATGGAACGTTGATATTGAGCCGGTGCAGACCTGAACTCCGTCTGGGTGTTCAAGTCTCTCATCCAGAAGTCACGATCCAAATCTTCGAGCTGCAAAAGGTCCCAGCCAACGTCAAGCCAGGCTGAATCACGAAAGCCAACTCTCGGCACTACGAACTTCGTGCCACGGCGTTTGCGCTCGACTTTCGTCTGCCAAGCGACGCCAAAGAGCCCTTCGTCTTTCATGATCAACTCAGTTGGCCTGACATGCATGGCATCGTCGAACCTCAGCGATGCGAAGACCATGCAGAGCCACCACCATGCAAAGAGCCTAGCTGCCTCTGGCTGCTGCACGTCTGTGACGAACTGCTCCAGACTTCCGACCGCCACGATCGGGATGGGCTGGGCTTCTTTCAATGTGGTGGCCCTTTTCTGAATGACGTCCGACTGAACCGCCAAGAGAGCGGGATGGGACAAATCAGGGCAGTCGATCGCCAGTTTAGATGTTACCCACTTAATTGACATCCTAAAAGAAGGCAAAACTGTGGGACCACATTCTTTCTCGTCAAGAGCTAGAGCATACTTCAGAATCAAATCAGAAGACAAAGGAAAAACGGGGATCCCAACACTATTGGCCCACTCCTCGAACCGCTCCCATGCGGAGATGTGGGCCGACATAGTCCGTGGAGCCCCCGATGCCAACACTAATTGGCGTAGCCGAGCGGTCTCACCCGGCGAGAGCCCTTCGCTGTTGGTGGTATCCAGCAAGAGCTTGGAGTGTTGACCCGCCCGTTTCCCTATGGCCTCCAGTTTAGAAGCCCACTTCCACCGAGCGGCATTCTCCTGGTCCAACAGCGGTGTGGACGTCGGATCCGAATCAGACTTCTTGAGCAGTTTCCTGGGCGGTTGAGCCGGCTTGTGCAACAGAGCTTTGATGGCATTAGCCCTACGAGCACTAGCGGTCTCGGCACTCAACGCCAAAGTAGTCGGATCGCACTGCCCGAAACCCAGCTGATTTGCAGAGGATTCGAAAAATGCCTTCTCGATCGAAGTAGCTAGACTCCAAAACTGTTCCAGCATAAAACTGTTGCTGAGCAAAACATCACGAACGGTCTCCTCTAGGGATGCTGACCAGTCGTGCACCTTCACGGTGAACTCCGGGCCCGATCGCACCTCCATCGCTGACACCAGCGCCAAGTTGGCATAAGGTGAAGCCAACAGCGCCTGAGCGAAGGCATCAGAGAAAATTGGAAGACACAAAATCTTAGATGTCCAGCGATCAGAACTTTGAGCCATGACTTCCCTGTGAACCCCCACACAACATGAACAGTGCACACATGAGAGTGTCAAGTCGGTTAAGAGAGCAATCATTGCACCTCGAACCTTAACGCCTCAAAAGCATGAACATGCAAACATGTGTGAACTACTGCATGAGGTGGTGTCACAGGCGTGGCGTCAAAGAGCAATTAAAATCAAATGAACGAAATACATCAACTTGTATCATGCATAAATCGTGACCAAAATCATAAATGCAAAAGCTTGACAGCTTTATGTGGTCGATCGACCAGACAGAGAAAGATGACTGACCAGAGCTATGGAGATCATACCCCATATCGGAACAGTCGCTCTAACATCACGTCCGGTCTGAGATCCCACAGCCGAGCAAACTGGGGCCCTCGCCTGGGCCAAGTGGAAAATATGGGAGCCGTCCCCATGAACGAGCTGGATGTGATCAAATCCCACCCGTTCACCATTGTGGGGTCTCACAGAGCAAACACCTCAGAAATTAGGTCCCTAGGAAACCCATTGACCCAAGTTAAACCAAACCAAAACGGGGAAAAACCAGGGTGAACAACGGGAAAACAAGAGACCTAAACTGAGGGTGTTTGCACAGCTCTCGCAGCAGCTAATGATTTTTCAGAGCATTCGGCCAGCGATCGTGCTGCGGCCTGATACATTCCGCCACCTTGCAAACTCGGTGAATTTCAAACTTCTTGATCAAGGTCAGGTCTCCGTCACTTCTTCAACGGTCGGAGCCGGTCCAAAACTGACTGGGCGTCCCGGGACCGCCTGATACACCTGATCAAGAAAAGTTTGTGGCGTCACGGCTGCCACTGAGATCCTCTCTTGTTGGCGAGCTTCAAGCGATCGCCTTTGCACATGTACCGAGCCTCCCATGGCTCCCGAGGCTGGGGCTTGACCCGGCTCAGTCATGGAGACTTCGGCTTGAACATTGGGCGCCACAACCAGTGCAGGAGCCGACGGTCCAGCCAATGCTTGCAGAGGGGCCGCAACTGATGATCTTGGCACCACTGATGGCCCACCCGTCACTGGCGGGAGCACGATCGTCTCCTGTTCCAGAGCCACATTGTGCGCCTGCAGAGCCAGTGCATCGGTTGGCACCAACGACTTCGCTGCCCTGAACAAGGGAGACTCACAGGTGAGGTGATAGTTGGCCGGGTGAGAATCCACCGCGACCGCACTCACCCTCGGACCCGTGTCATCAACGGACTCTGCTTCGATCGATGCAGTCCAGTGTGCATGGATCCCGGCTAGCTGTGACAATTGCATGGTCTGATCAGGGCCTTCCACCCTTGCATGATGCTCACGACACCAACGAGCATTCTTGATCAAGGTGGGCCCAGACACACGCGACACAACCAGCCAAGTTGATGGAACCACCACCTGAGAACATGCAACGTCCAGCTGATCACCGGATGACCTGAATCGGAACTCTAAGCGGTCTGCATCCATCCCGATCGAGTCCGTGGAAGAGAGCGCAGTGAGCCGGACTTCAAAGTGGCACAAAGGAAAGTCCAGGGCCACGACCGTCCCACCATCACTGCAGGCGTACAGACGCCCTCCCACCTCGAACGAGGTTGCCACCACCCTCCATCCGTGGAACACCGTGACGATGCAGGACGGCACAAAAAGGCAGTCCCTAAGGTTCGCCATGAGAGCATCATTGACGTAGTTCATCTGAACCGTCATGTCAGTGTTCGATCGGTAGCCGCGCAGCTCAAGGTGTAGAAGAAGACCTCCTTCAACCTTGACTTTCACATCGACCCAGGTTGCAGATTCGTCAGTCATCATCGGCCAACGAAAAGGTTGAAAGGCCGGGTGGGCCATGATCTTCCCCGTGTCTGCATCCCAGCGAGCTGCTGGCACCGTCCCGTAAGACGTCATTGATCCTACCAAGATGAACTTGAACCCGTCCATCGTCCTCACATAGAACAAGTTGAGGTGGTAGCCCTTGTTTGGCGATCTGACAAGTTGTCGATCGACCAGGACGTTCACTCCAGACTGGGCGTTCAGCAAGATCTCGTCCAGCAGCCATCCCTGGTAGGGGGACTGAATGCGCCGATCGCGGCTATCAATCACAAGCACTGATCGTTCATCTTGGCCAGCACCCAACTGCCTGATGAACGTTGGGAGCTGGAAATTCTGAGCATCAAGGCCAGGCATCTGTCCCCACCTAACTGCACGATGACCACGCCTCTTTGCCTGAGCTTTCTGCTTTGCCAGGCGAGCTGCCTGCTTCTGAGCGCTTCCAAGCAAATCACGTGCTGCCTGAGTAGCTGGAGCAGCAGCACTTTGAGCAGGGGCTTGAGCAGGGTCAGTGAAAAAGAGAGCCGCATCAGCAGGTGGGAAGGGTGCACTTCCGCTTGAGCTTGACACACGACTCTTGGGTTGATCCTGTCCTTGGGCTGCATAGCCAGGAGCCGGCTCACCTTGGTGTCTGAACCCGGGCGGTGGTGCCTTAGGCTCAGGGAACTGCATTGGCACTTCCTGAACAGGCTCCACATTGCGCTGTTCATCCACGACCACACTCCAGGACACCTGTGAGGCACTGTCCTCAGGTGCAAGGTGATCACCTCCAACACTGGCTCGAGCAGCTGCCATGGCTCTCTGACGTTCCAATGGAGCCGGGCTACAAGGAGGAAAAGACATACTTAAGTGATCCAGTCCCAGGCCCTAAAAACAGCGATCCTCTTTGATCAAAAAGAGCTGTGGCCTGACTGTGATCACTCGTTCTTTGAGCCAAAATGGCAAACGACCGCATCGAGTCCTTAGTGATCACATCAGGACACTGCACTTGGTATAAAATAAAAGGAGACTCCATATATATATATAATAAACTCGAGAGAGATATTATAATATATATAGAGCGCAAGGGAAACGATCGAGTTAGAACATGCATCATGAGAGTCAGCTGCTTATCCCAAACCTACCTAACCGTTGATATGCAACCATATTATTATATATACACATATTTGATATGTGCGTGTGTGTGTGTGTCTGTGTTTATTGAATGTCTGCAGTTGTTAACATACCTTAATATCATATCCTTGTTTCAACAATGGATACTAACTATCCCCAGTGCTTTCCCACAACTTTCCATCCCCATGGCATGACTTTCAGCCCCCTGCCGCAGGAGCAATGAAGGCAGCGACCGTGGCAGTCACCGGGACCTTCAAAAAAAAACGGGCGCATCCTGGGGGATTTCTGGCATGAATTTAGCCACTGTAGAAAAAAAAACAGGAGTTCTGCGGATGAAAATCGCAACGTATCCATCTCAAGTCTCAAGGCTACCACCATTGGGAGTAGATCGAGTCGGGTCCCCAAGAGATCTTGAGGTGACGAGGTGACATACCCGTCTGAAAGACGCAACAATAGAAAGAGGCACTAAACTGGATCTTGGTCAAAACACAAGAATAGCTGGCAAGTGAATTTTCATCCCCTCAGCTCAAGTCATAGAAATCTGGAACTCCCAGAATCCCGCATGACCACATGACATGCCACATGACATGACCACCAAACGATTAAACCCTCTGAGGCTAGTCACGGATGTGCTGGTGCTGGTTGGAAGTGCCTCTAGCCTCAAGGGCAAGATCCACTTGAGGGAATCAAAACCATCATGTTTTCATCGGTACAAACATATATGGTCCATGGTGCATTATGGTGCCAAAATCTTCAATAACTTTCATTCTCGCAAGACTTGAAGCGGTGGCATGTGCAGTGGAAGCTGAAGAAAACTTGTGTTCACAAGCAGGAGACTCAGGAGACTCTGAACAAACAGGCAGTTTCAATGGTGAAGGCGCCCGCATCATCTGAAGACAGACGCTATAGTTACTATAGTCCATGCATTGAAAATCTGTGCTGTGCATACATGGATATCACTCAGGCTCAGCATCAATTTAGCTTTGGTTAATATATGGAATTCTCCCAGAATTCACCCGTATCATCCCTGGTAATGAAATCATGGCCATGTGGGCTTCCCTAGATCCCCAGATCCAAAGGAGCCAATTGGGCCACCAAGTATCAATCTACTGGTGCTATCAACTCGGACCATTTGGTTCAGCCAAATGCGCCAGGGTGAAGCACTGCTGCTGGCGAAACTTCAGGAACAAAGGAAAATGGAAGTTCTTTCAAATTTGTACTGCTGGAATGATCCAGGAAACCCAAGAAACTGTGAATATCCCGGAATCTCCAAGAAACTGCTGGATGAATAAATGAATGGTGTATATGTTGCTCCTTAGATGTCCTGCGCAGCCTGGCAATGCTGCTTCAAGTCACAACTAAGTTCTAAAGTCATCCCTGACCTTGGCAAGTTTATGCAAGACTTCGCCAGATTTTTTGCTTCAGACCTCAATATGTCTTTCATTGTTTTTCCATGTCAGGAAGAAACCTTTGATTTTTGGTGTGCCCAGTGATCATTCAATCATGTTTTGCCGGGAACTGAGCTTTTTGACTTTGAGCCAGATTGATACCGAATAGTCACCGAACATCACCGAACGGGGTCTTGAGAGGAGTCCATGGCTGTTCTCAGCCATCTGCGGATTGAAAAATGGGAAAACCAATAGTTCCACATCGTTATAAACACATGCTGATGTGCAATGCATGTGAATGTTCATTTGAAGAGATAGCAGGCTAGATGCCAAACCATCAGGATACTCCAGACTTTAAGCAATATTCCGCGGTGGCTGAAACCAAAGAGTCCCATCAGTCAAGAAACAGCATGGTCCAAGGTTTTAATTGTTCATCATTGCCATCCAAGTCACCATTTTCTCTACCATCTGCTTATGACTAACATAGCCATGGAACGTCACCATTTTTAATAGGTAAACCATCTATTTCTATGGGTCATTTCCCATGGCTATGTTAGTCATAACCAGATGGTAAATCTTGAAGCACTGTGGGATCTCAACGTCATCAACATCAGCTACGAGTAGCGTTCAGCTCGCCCCGCCACACCTTTTGCATCTCAGCCACGATTGATTCCTTCGCCTGCGCGGAATGGGCACAGCTTTGGAATTGACTAAATGGTGTTATGGGGTCTGATCGGGAATTCATGAGTCTATTTAGGATGATACACAATATACACATATACACATACTGTATCTGTATATACGTATATACATATGCATATACAACATATATATTCATATATATATATACACAGTGTATATATCTATGATTATCTATATGCGTCTGTCACAGACATAACTTTGTGTATATGTAAAGACTGTAGATCATGATGTATAATGAATGGGGATATCACCAAAGAAATGTTTGAGATATTGATCAACCAGTTGGGTAGAATTCCCCTGGTGGTCGGGCCATCCTTCCCAAAAACAAGCCTTCTTCTCACTCTGCAGAAGCTCCTGCAACGTCAAAACAGTCCAATCCAGGAATGTCCGTTTGGTCTTGTTTCAAACATTCCTCATACTAAAATCGCCAAATATGTAAATATATAATATACATGAAAATATCAGAAAATCAAAATCAGCCAGACATGCTTGTGATCTATAGCAAGCAAGAATGATCTGCATGTTTTGCAGAGTTTCCCAACCAGCGCCTGGGTGAACATGTGAAATGTGGAACAACAAAAAATGCAACAGTCATTGTTTCTTGATTTCATTGCATTTATTGGGGAACACCTCAGAAATGACAACTACTGTAACCCACTTGATTTCAACTATTGGTCTTACTTTTCTATTCCAAGCCCAAAAAAATGGGAAACACCTTGGAAAACCATTGTTTCAGAGGCCCAAAACCCGGTCAAATGGTCGTACCCGGTCGGACGTACCTCTTTCTCCTGCAGTTCAACCTCTTTCTCCTTGCTGAGTTTGGAACTTGGAAACTGCTACCCTAGTGGAACCCCATCTCCGTCGAACCGTCTAATGGGTCTGTCTGTCAGTTATCTACGTAATATATATATATATACATATGTGTGTGTGGCGGACCAAATTACTTAATCGCAATGGACATGGCCAAAGTGGGTGGTCCCCTGTCGGTTGTGAAGGTTTTCATACAGATTTGAACATCCCAAGTCCACTCCCAACTACTTTTAGTTTTCCGCGAATTTTGTCGGTTACTCATATATACATAGATATCAACAACCGTGGATTGACTTAACCTATTCCTATGTGCATCTATTTCTTGTGTCCCGTATCTACTTTGCATTATATATATCTGATTCAGCAAAACTAAGTAGTGGGTCAACATGCCAGTGGTCTAGATTGGCAATGGTTTTTTCAAAGGCAAAAAGATGCAGGAAATGGAAAGAAATTAAAAGAAATGAACAAAATGAACAAAAAATGAAAAGAAATGAAAAAAAGGAAAAGAAATGAAAAAAGGGAAAAGAAATGAAAAAAATGAACAAAAAATGAAAATAAATGAAAACAAAGGAGAAAAAAAACAATGCATGTGTTTCTCGTTTCTGCTTGTTTTTTCTTTTTTTAGCTCTTGGGTTTCGCGACAGTGGGATAATGATAACCTGCATGTGGTCTTTAATTGAGAAATTGTTTTCTTTTTTGCTATTCTTTGACCAAAAAATGCAAAACAATAGAAATAAGTGAGAAAAACATGTTTTTCTTAAAAAGAAAAACAAAGGAAATCGCAAACGTGCTGCAAGGGTGTTTCTGGTGCAATGTGTTGTGGAAAAATCTGAGATTGTTTGCACGTGGCCAGCGTTGTCAAAACAAATCACAGTTTTAAAGGGGCCACAGCCTGAACAGATTAAATAGAATGAAGTAAAATCATTTGAGTTCTATCCATGTATCTTTTTGTATATGTATTTCTTTTTATTGTTATTTGTATTTCTCTTTATTTCTGTTTATTTCTCTTTATTTCCCTTTTCTTGTGAAAAAATGTGTTTTATGAGTTTTAATATTTCTTCAATTTTTGGATCAACCAAACCATGTTGAAACTAACCTACTGCAACCTGCAACACCACTTAGTCTTGCTGACTGATATATATATATATACACATAATTCTGTGTACATAATCTTAATCTGAACGCAGCACCGTCTGATATCACTGCACCCTTCATGCACACCATCCATCAACCCTACGCACTGCCGCACCTGGCAATGTCTTCGCAACATCTCTAGAGACCGTGCGTTCTCTGCCTGCGCCTAAGAGGCTGGGAATGAGTGGGGAGGCAGATTGATCTGCAAAGGAAACAAGTTTCGCCAGGAATCTGCTCAGAATTTTGATGTTCTACTACTGTATATTATATATAGTATATATATATATATGAGCAGGGACCCCCACACCCCTCCCCCCCCCAGCCAGATGGTTCCCCCCCCCTGTGGTAGGGGAGGGGGGTTTTCTCAGCAGCCAAGCCGATTGTTGCTGGAGGAATGGTTTCTTGGCCGACATGTGTATATATATATATATATATGTACATATACAGTATATATATATATACATATATATATATACGTGCACAGTATGTACAATGTAAACGAAATATGTGATAGATACAAGATCAAGATATCAATATGTAGTATCTAGAATGTGCATATATATATATATATTGTTTTTCTACTGTACATATGTCTAGGTTTGCATAGGTAAGCTTTGCGTAATCCATAGGTAGCAAATATGTTGTAAACCATGTGCGAGGCACGCTATAGGCGGTTCGAAAAAAGGTTATGATAGAAATATACAGGTAGACAAGGTCCGTTGACGAGGTCGTGGCTCTCAAGTGCTGCAAATAACGTAGAGATGCGAGGTTGGAGGGGTGGAAAGGGGAGTATATATGTGTATATGTGTATGTATATGTGCAAATAACATGCAAATACTAGGTTTTGGGGGGGTGGGGGGGGTTAGGAGTGGGGGGGGATACCATTGGGGGGGGGGGGGGGGGGGGTGTGGGGGTCCGGGGACCGGGCTCATATATACACGTATATATATACCCTAAAAGTCATAAGACGATTAAAACAATGGTCTTTTTGATAAAGACGATTCCCTACTTGGGGCCAATAGTCTTTTGCAAGCCTTGAAACAAGGTGTTTGAAACACATGTGCATTGATATTTTTTGATCAAATTTGATCACACCCACAATCACCCAAATCAACGCACTATTTTGCACCCCAACACTTCCCTTTGCTATGTCATCTGCGTCTTGGGCTTTTTGTCCTGGAGCCACAGGTGGAATGATCGCCATTCTGGGGAAGCATGAGTTCAGAGTCAAAAAGGCTATCTAAGTTGAACTGGCAAGTAAGGGAATGAAATGTAATGAAACAACCCGAGCCTCTTTCTGTCTCGGGAATTCTTCATGGATAGGAGCCTGCAAAACTGTAAGAGAAAAGCGGGTCAAGCAAACACACGCCCCATGAACACTTTTTTTACATCTTTTTGTTGGTTGAACAATAAAATGGTGAAAGCTGGCCTGAGTTTGGTGCATTTGAGAACCCAGAGACACCGCTTTTTGGCTGATGTCTTTGACGCCACACCTGAGCTGTCTTGGGTGAAATGCCTGGTCCTTGTAACAACATCATACCTTGTCCTTTTCAAACTGACCATAATAATAAACAGTACAAGTGCAACAATATGATAAACATTGACAAACCACAGGGCGCTCTTTCTCCTATTGGTTTAAGTCCCCCAAAATAACCCAACTTTTCAAAACCCACAACACCCACAAAAAACACATGCATTCAGGTTGCTTTTCACCCATCGCATACAATCCTCATCGCAAAATGTGTGGGTCATTCGAGGATTTGTTCCTAAGCTGCCAAATGCAGAGACAACCATGCTCTCCTGAAACGTTTCATTGAAGTCCCCCTTAAAGATGAACCTAGGTCAAACCCCAAAGAGTTATATATTTGGATGAGGTGTCATGCATCACTCGTGCGAATTCCCTAGTCATGACATCCTGCATGATGGGGACCAACTGGTCAAGGGTCTGTAGCGCAGAACGTGATGGCACAGGTGACCCATCACCTGATGAGCACACTACACACAGCGATGGAACGTGCCCTTGACACATCTTAGCACCATGTCTTTGGGCGCACACTCTTTCAAAAGTAAGACACTGAATCTCCAGCGGGCAGAACCCTTCAATCTTTAATGCAGCAAAGCTACATGGTGCTTTGGTTTCATCAACCAAAGACTGCGGCCCTGCCTCCACAAGAAAAAACTACATGATTACAAGTTGTACAGCCACACCAGAACAGATTTGAGAGTGCTCACAGAGCTGAACTAAAGAAGCTGTAACAAACTATATTCTTTGACTAGCAATCCAACGGCAACTCAAAAGTATACATGCCCCCCTATGCCTCACATGCTCTGCGCAGAGAACACGGTAGAGCTTCAAGAACCGCATCCCTGAATCATAGATCGATTGCGCTGCATCCTGGGTCCTGAGGGCGAATGGGTCAAGTGGGCGAACGGTTTCACCAAATCGAAAGGTTTTGGCTTGAACCAAACCACACACACATACATTATTGACATTGAGAATGCAATGGGCTTTGAAATAGAAGTATGTTGAATTCAAGATCTCATCAAACCCCTGGCTGGATTTGTGGAAGTGTGGCAACCCCCAAGGCAATTATTAAATTAAAGTATTTCATCGGGCTGGGGCTGTGATACTTACACCCTACAACCTGACATATCATATCATCATGTAGACATGAATGTTGAGATTTACTTTTGCACACTAACCCTGGGTGGACCAAATTGGTTGAATTCGACTTTATGAGCAGGTACGGTAACCTACTCCGCATTCAAGGATGGTAGCCACACCCAAGCCAACAACTTCTCTGTTTTGCCATGTGTCAAATAGCGGCCATTCTCCTCCAACAAGCGCATGAACTTTGCCAACGAGCTCCTGAAGGAAACGCTGGCTGGGCTTGTTGTGGGAACTGTAATCAAAACATATCTAAACAAGAAGAGGAGGCACATTGAAACAATTGTTCATAATTAGATCCCAAGACTCAAGACCCTTGATATAGTTTAAATACCTTTCCTTTTATCATCATTAAAGTTTTCCGGACTATATCAATCGGAAAAAACATGAGCACCATAAAAAAGAAATCCAATTTGAGGTCAAGGGTCATGGCAGCACTGGTAAGCACCAATACCTCATGATCTGGGTAAGAATCCAAAGCTGTCAGAAGGCAGTCTGCCAGCCAGCTCAAGATACAGCGGCCGTTGTAGGCTTTTGCAGTAAAAAGGATCTTGCCACCTTTTTTCTTCACCTTAGACGTTATGAGGGCAGTATCAGGAAATATGTCAGCCCCCAAGAAGAAAAAACATGTATGCTACATCTTTTTCTTGGATTCATATTCTGCAGCATTCCCATTATTTGAAAATTGGTGATGTGATTCTAGCATATTTTATAGCCATATATAGAAAAAACACGTGGTGCATCGCAGTTCTCCGATCATTGTAGTTCAAGGCACCATCTTGGGGAGGAATGGTGGCTGGGAGTGGTTGACTTTATGGCGTTTGCAATATGCCAGAAAGTCCTTGTAAGCTGAGTCCAGCTTCTGTTTGAAAGTCCCTGGTCCAAAGAATTCAAGATCATCGCAAAGAAGGAGCCTTAGGAAACAGCCAGCCCCGCACACAGGACAGTGGGCTACAGCTGACTTCAAATCAAGTTTGCTGCGCAGTACAAGGCAGGACCAAAAACAACAAAACTGATTATTCATACCTTTTAATTTTAGCCAGCGTCAACGCTGCTCCATTGGCTGTAAAGAAAATTCCAAGGTTGATTGCGTGCATGGAGCACCAACGCAATACCCCAGGATGAAACCCACGTACTGTGAGAAGGGGACCTCATATGTATGGGTTTGCGACAATGATGTCCCCCAAAAAAAACTTTATCATGTTCCCAAATCTTCCAAATATTGGGGTGAAAAAACAATACCTGAACAGAAAAAATCATCAACAGTTTCCGAAAATAAAAATGTTACTTGCTTGCTAGATACACAAGTTTTTATCCCTGAGACGTTGGGACACAAATTCCCCCAAGTTGAACTCTTGATTGTTCCACGTACAACTGTCTTCGTTATTGTAATAGAGAAGCTCCGTGGGTCCACTTGCTACTGCAGGGCATTGAATGCACATGGGTTTTGTGGTGGAAAGCCATGATGAGGTAGGACGCCAGCAATCCCGATGGAACTCCCAATCCCCACGAACTTCCGTAAGTGCAAACCTCAAACCATTCTTAGTTATGGCACGACCAGCCATATTGGCATCAGAACCCTTCAACGGCTTCCCACCAACACCCTGCGTCGGGTAGAAACCGTCAAAGCATGCATTGATGCTCCAAGCAAGCCTCCTAAAGACTGCATTGAGCGTGCGATTTTTGAACAATTTGCCAGCTGGACAAGTGAAGACAACAAAACGACTGTAACGGGTGGCCCGTGGTCGAAAGAGAGGAAGATTTATGGAGATAGACATCTGTTTCTCCACTTGATAAACTGTCCAGAGTCGAGCCCCGTCTCCGTGTAACCCTAAAGGCACATGATCTCGTGATGCAGGGCTTGATACTGCCCAGGGCTCTTGCATCAACCTTGCATGGTCCCAGTATTGGTGAACACTGGCAGGGTCTAGCTCCAGCTGTACTTCATCAAATAAGTACGTCAAAATTCTGTGGGGATGCAGAATAGGATACGTTTCCATAGACACCCCTCTGGGGCTCTTCTTGTCCACCACTGGAACCTTGATTGTATCAACCGCCTCAGCTAGGAAGCATAGCTCAATTCTAAAATATAAAATGCACTTGCCCAGGAAATCCCTATTAATACAGGCGGTAAAAAACCCAGTTTTGGGCTACAATATTCAATATGTTTGGTTCTTTACCTCCAAAAAAAAATATTGGTTGATCTTACATTACAAAACCTCCAAATCTAAAAAAAACAAGCAGGCGCCACACTCAATCAAGGTACAAGCATCGGGATCTTAACAGAATTCCAAAAATCACGGGCATCGTTTTTGCCAGATTTTGTTGCTAACCGAGAAGTTTCTGGATGATTCGCCGGTCCTGCTTCCTAAGTGCTGAAATCAGTTGATGCCAAACAAAACACAACCACATTGTACACACATACACGCTGGGGCACAGCAAAGGTACCCTCTCCCAGTGTAACATGGCTAGGGAACATCTTAACTTTTGTTGGGAACATATGGGATGATATTCTCTGGTGGGTAGTGGATGGTATAGATCTTTGGTTGTTTTAGGTAAAGGAGCACTAATTAAATTTTATGCCGTGACCAACATTGAAGGGGATATCATTTTTAGAATATATGACTACTCCATTCACAACCCTGTGCTGCGAAGGCTCTGCAGCTTGATTCCGCACCCGCTTCATTGCAGCAGCGACAGAGGTCGCCTGGAGCAACAGGGAAGGGTGACATTGGTGTTGTGATGGATCCTACACATCCACACTTCCCAGATGTGGCCATATATCTATCTACTCATGACACAATACAATGCATGCACAAAGATGAAATCCACACACGTGTTCACCAGATCTGAATAAAATCTTGAACTTTAGGCTATCAACTAGTTGTAAGGGTACCAGTGAATTTCTTTGGCTGGTGCCCAAAACGAATAAACTTGGGTACGCTGTGTACCCATTGTGCTTTGAAAACCACCAACTGCTCTCAGAACTGAATGTTTTTCTTTCTTTCCTGTCCGGCAATCAAACTTCTTTTATTGAGCTAGCATGTCTCCAGATACAGGGGTAATAGAAGCACCATATCCCATCCCTGGTTCAACCAAGCTTCCCCTCCAGCAATATCATCATAATGGCCATGAAGGGTGTGGGGAACCCCATCAGCACGCTCACCTGCGGTGGGCCAAGGGTTAAATAGCCTTGAAACATTTGGAGACTCTGACAGGTGGGTGTCCCGTTTCAGATACTAAAGAATCTGGTTTCATGACATGGGTTTCCATGCTTAGGCTTTTTTGTTGACATTCGCTCGATCAATGTATTGGGGCCCCATGTTTGGACCATCTCAATCCGACCAATGTGTAGTTCACACTGGCGTCGGCACATCATAGCAAAGTTCTAAGTGTGGGTTTTCCACGCAATCCAAACTAGCCTGAAACCCCATCCCTAGCCCGCATGGCTTGAGGCAGACCCAGGTAGTCTGTGGCAAACAAAACTGTCAAACCAATCGATATAGTGGGTGAGTCAAGCCACTGCGACTATTCCCATGAACATTATATATATTATAATGTAATTAGATGTACTGTATCATGTAAAACCAATTATATATAAAGTATACATAAATTATATGTTTGCCACTGCCCACCTTACTGTCAACAATTCACACTGTCAATGTCAAAAGGGTGTTAGACGAAAATGCCCCACTATGCCATGCATATGTAGGAAAGCTAGAGGATCTTGTGTTAGGACCCGAAATTTTCAACTATTGCCATCACTTGGAAATGTTATAGGCGGTGCAAAAGCTCTGAAAATCCTTGACCACATCCTCGCCGCTGGCCGTCATCTGGGGCATGTTGCCCAGGCAATCCACCTGTGGCTGGCATCTGCAGATGGCGACCGAGGTGGCCAGAGAACACCTGGGGTTCCTGACAGCTAGGTGAGAAATAGAAAACATTTTTTTGACCTGAAATTTCAATAGAATATATCCACTTCACTACTGTGATATTTACATCATGTGTTCTTTGCTAACGCAGATCATTTTTTCATGGAACCTGGACCCAGTAGATGTTTAACATCATTTGCAACATAAAGCTAAACAACTGGAATGTATAATAGGGTGGCTACAAACATTATTTTGGGTTTCCAATACCTCTGAATGGATTTGATTTTAAAAGAAAACAGCACCAAGGATAATCCCACCTTGGATTCGTCAATCGCCTTCTGGAGATGTTTCCGGGCATCTCGCAGGGCGATCAAATGTGGCTTCACTTCGGTCAAAATGGCTTTCTTCACAGTCTCGCTCCTGGGCAAAACGCAAGATGGGGATGGCACTAGCTGGGGGTCTCAGAGTTTTGGATGGGGATGGACATGCTTTTTGCGTCTGTAGAATGCAGAATCTACAGTTTTTGTTCAAGATCGAAGTTGGACCAAATAATCCAGTTGCATTAAAAAGTGCAGAACATATTGGGAAGTTATATAAGCCTGCTATGGGTGGTTGCCTGGGTAACAATCAAAGGGTTCAAGAAAACCGGTCCTTTCCTACATATATAGTCAGGATTTAGAAACTGTTTCTGAGCATCGGGGATGCCATTAACACCTTCGAATTATGTAAGCCTTTACATTGAAAGATTCGGACAACATTTCAATAATTAAAATAATTTCACTTATGCTGTTGAACATTGTCTAGGTAGCAGTATCCCAGCGATTGGATTTTGGTTTTTTAATTTTATTGCTATCCCATGACCCGGCAGGGTTTAAACAAGACATTATACAATGGGTTTATCAATAGGCAGGGTACCGATTCTGAATGCAATTTATGAGTATCTGGGGTGAACCACCCAAAAAAGAAAGTCAGTTTTTTTTCCAGGGTTGACATTGCTGTTTCGAACTGCCTGGCCAAGACTTTGTAGCCCCAACATTTATTCAACCCCAAAAAGATGGTCTTATTTTAGGATAGGGTTTGACCACCACTTAGCAATACCAACAGCCGCCTCGCCAAGGCTGGTTCCGAGGGACATGTTCGACAGCTTGTCTTCGAGGCTGGAAGCCTTCATGATGCTCTGCCCGATCTTGGTAATGACCTTCCAGAATTTCAGTTGTCTCCATCCCCTTGAAGTTAAATCGCAAGGGGTGTCCCGAAAAGTCTTTGTTGTAAAAAGAATGTGAAACCATTGGCTTGCACAAAGTCGCTGAAAGACGACTGTTCTCAAAATTTGGTTCACTTTGCTTACCCTGTGGGTAGAACCTGGACTTATTTCATGGCCACATTCACATGCTTTTCACACCATACTTATGATATATTATGTGCACTAATAGTACCTGCAACATCAGCATACACATATGTTGGAACTTCAATGTTGGTGCCATGGCCCGTACCATGGTACCTGATTGCTCTTTCGCTGTTCTTTCTTCAATGCATCCGTCTTCTGCTTCTCCTGCCGCTTTTTCTCCTTATCCTCATCTTGCTTCGCCTTCTTCTGTTCAGCTTTTCGTTCCTGTTCCTCTTTCTTCTTCTTTGCAGCCTCTGTCTCGTCCTTGCCTTTGCTCTTGTTCTTCCCAGACTTACGCTTTGGTTTCTTTGTGTTTGCCTGTGCTGGATGGCTATGGAAAGCAGGAGGACATAGTTCCACATGGCTATGTGCAATGTGAAGTATTGAAAACATATACAGGGTCAAGAGGTGAAACCATATGGAATCATTCAAATACAATATAGTGTACAGATTATCCAGCCTCACTGGAGTCATCAGATTCATTTGAATCTGAGGAAGAGCCGCTCGAACTGTCAGACGACGACGAAGACGATTTCTTTCCCTTCTTCTTTGACTTCTTGCCCTTTCTCTTGGACGACTTTGCCTTCTTCTTACTCTTCTTTCCTTTGGCCTTCTTGTTCTTTGTCTTCTTTTTTCCCGAACCACTAGGCCCACTGCTGCTATCAGCTGCTTCAAAAAGCTGGCTTGTGATTGTGTCCACGCTGTCTTCCTCTCCTTCTTTGTCCCAGATTAGATACTGGGTGGTTTCCTGGAGAGGCTGAACAAAGGTAGCAACACGAGGTACGTAACCCAATGTAATCAATAAAGCCCGAGGGTCGATTCAGAAATCTACAGGTTGCATTCACAAAAATGCGCACACTGGCATGTTTGTACATTGCTAAGCTGTACGTTGATTTGAGAAACCAGAAAAACCATTGCATGAGTATCATGGCTGTCCTCAGTCTGCACACCATGCATATCAGGATGCGCCCTGATCTGCGTCTTTGATGCTTCCTTGTCAATTTCCTTTGCTTCTATGATCTGCTGGGCTATGGTCGTGGATCCGTACTTTGCAGTCATTTCGGATCTTGTTAACCACACTCGGCATCCGAACCGACGGTTCTTCTTTTTCTCCTTGATCTGCAGAAAGAAATCTGATTGGGTCCACACCCCTTGGGCACTGGCCCACTGCTCCATGAGAACTTGGAGCTTAGGGCTGCAGCGGAAAGCATTGCGACCCGCGCGCTGAATCTCCAATGGAGTATTTGGGCCTCAGACCAAGCCACAAGAAAAAGTGTGAACACCTGTTCTTTTGTTTTTTTGAATATGACACATCATGTGCAACATGCATCGTGTCAAATGAACAGTTCATACATACATGCATGCACACACACACGCAGGACATGATGATTGACCATGATCTTGAACCTGATTTGAATTTTTCTGGGTCCCTTAGGACATCGTGTTTTTAACAACGGTTCAAACAGATCGGATCAAAATTAAATCCAAGTAACTCGTGAGACTTCGACTGAACCTCATGTACCTGGCATGAGCCTCCTTCTTCTCTCTCACGACCTCTTCTTGTAAGGCAAGCGCTTCTTCATCATCACTCTCACTCTCACTTGCGCTCTGGGAGTGTTCAGACTCTGACGGGGGTGGAGGTGGTGGAGGTGCAGGTGTCGCCTTCTTCCCACTAGACTTGCTGGCGTGAGATTGCTTACTCTTGCCACTGCCACTGGGAGATTGCTTTCTCTTGCCACTGCTACTGGGAGCAGGGGGGGTGGTTGGTTCTTGCAACTCTGCCGTGTTCCTCCGATGCAAGCACTCCTGAACAGCAAGGGCAGTGACCCCTTGACTACGATCAGGAGTCGTACCTTCAACCTTTGCATCACCTTGAGCTGCTTTGGGGCTGACAGACTTTGGTGGTGCTGCTCTGGCTTTCACTGCAGTTGCTGGTTGCTTCTGTGCTTTGCGCTTCGGCTCGCCAAGGAGTTCGTGGCTCTGAACGTCACGCCTCAACCTTGGCTCACGTTCTCCAAGTTCCATGGTAGACTTGGATTCTTTGATCTGCGGTCTGGGTGTCTTCCTTACCTCTTCTCTCCTTCTTTTCACTTCATCTTCCGTGGCAGGCACAGTAGAAGCATCAGAACCTGGCCGGAAAAAAAATATCATTAATCAACATCACTAACAAGAACAATCAACCACATCACCGGTGGTATGTGTGGCTTGTTCTTTGTTCTTTCTTATGGGCATCATCCCTGTATACATGTATGCATGCATGCGTGTATGTTCTTGTGTGCTATACCACTCTCACATCTTGGACACTTAAACGCACTTGAAGTCAAGCCTGCATTGCCAGGCAGTGTTTGCCTCGGACATTAGAGTTGCCAGGGCCCCAAACCAGCCTGCATCAGGTGGAACACGCTTTGCCTTCTTTGTTGTTGGGGCTGTCCTCACAACAGAAGATATTTGGGGACTAGTACATATAGTTTGGTAAAGATCCCAACTGGATTGGGAAATAATCCGATGGTCGTGCTTTCGATTCCAGGCATTCCCAAATGATAAAAGATTGTTAAATAAAAGATGAATAATTTTATAATTAACATATCGATAGTAATCATAAATGATTGATAAATAAATAGGAATAAATATAAAATGATTTTTGTTCAGGCCCCAAGCTATGACAAAACCTGTCCTGTCAGTGGCCAACTCCTCAGACTCCAAGCCACATGAATCCATCAAAGCAATCCGAGCAGCCCGTTTGGCCGCCCGTTCTAACACTTCTGAAGCACTACCCGCCCCCAACATTTCGGGGGGTGGAAAAGTAGGTCAACAGACGACCCAGTTCTTGGCCTGAGAGTAAATGTCACTGACAAACCAATAACCTGAAAGCCACATACTGGTATTTGGTCCCAAACATGATTGGGAATGGAGCAAAAGTCAGAAATCACAAGGGAAATCCAGGGACCGTGAATGAATTGTGAATTGGTTTGAAATAGTAATCCCAAGTTGGTCTGAAATATGTTGAATTGAATTCAATCAATCCTAGTTAGAAAATAGTGATTTTTGGCGATGTTTTGGGGGTTATGTCTTTCACGCCCAAAAATGGTCTTTCACGCCCAAAAATGGTCGTTCACGGTTCATTCACGCTCATTCACGGTTCATTCACGGTCCCTAGTCCCCTGGAAACTCTACTTTTTTTTCTGGCTCCCCTTGGGCTAAGCTGCTCGATGTAAAATCCAATCAGTCCCTGAAAGTCCATAGGCCACATCCCATAAAATGCAAATATGTTTTTTTTTCAAGGGTATTATTATATGTTATCATCATATCATCAATTGGAATTTCCAAAGGGCCTGTGCAATGTATTTTGACTGCAAATATTTGCAGCGCTGTGCAAGTAATTTCAAATTAGTACGAGATCGTGAGCACATCACGACACCATGCCATGACAACCTTTTTGGTCAGTCTAGGCCTCCACTAATCAAGGGGTGGAACCTACCAGCCTTCTTCTCTTCAACCAAGAAATCTCTCAGCTCAGAAAGGCAGGCGTGTCGCCATCTATATGGGGCCTCCCATGTCGTGATTGTGGAACACATATAATATACAATTTCGGTCGGTCTAATTGATCCAAATATATCTAGTTGTTAAAATAACAGTAAGCCGAATTTAATTTTCACAACCCCAGGGTCCCAGCCTCCTTGATCTTCTGCAGGGTTGCATGTGCCAAGCCGCCTTGAGGTGGATAGATGGCTTCACGGAATACCTTCAAGTTGTCGACATCCTCCTGATGGCAGGAGATCGGGTTGGGATGGCTCGTTCAAGGGCAAACAAAATAACAATTTTGAACCTTTACACTGTCGATTAGCCAAGGAACCATCCATTTTGTGTGGAAGGAACAGATAGCATTGCCATACCCTCGGGGATATACTTGAGAATTCTTAAGGGCCTTTGTGCCACACCTCAGCGCAGATGGATAGAAATGTACCATATAGGATTCGCACATTGGCCAACAAAATGTTGCTTCTTTGTTCAAAAACAAACGCAAGAAACCAGATTTAGAACGGATTAAGTTTGGCACACGCGTTTCACACCCTTTGAATCGATATAGGTGCGTGCCAACTTTTTGGCTTTCAGTGCACGCTGTCTGACCCGCTTGGTGAGCTTCTTCTTCAGGCGATAGGCCCAAGGACTTAGGCATAAAGGCCGGGCAAATCACCAGACATATTGATCTATGCATTTTAGAAATGATACTGACAATTTTCGACCGTTGGTTTGATTCGAAACATTGTAAGGACCCAGCCAACTTCCAAATGTCAAAGTCGGCTTCAAATTCGCATGTCCCCAAACTCCCATGTAACTCAGATGAGGGCAGCCAAATAAGTGTGCACTGAACCATGCCAAATATTTGCAGAACTCTGTCAAAACATGAAATCTGTACTCCTTGGTAAGGTTCAGAGATGTGAGCTGAACCTTGAGCTATGATTTTATGGGTGTTAATACCTTCAACCCTTGAGACGGCCATAAATTTGGTACAACTAACAGACACACATCTCTGATCCTGACCGGGTCCTGGGTCCTGAAGATTCAACTGAGTGGCAACCTGGTCGCCAGCCAGGGAAGAAAGAGGGAGACAGTTTTGGCCAACCAAGCCACATAAGGGAAAAAACCCATTAAAGTTGACCCTGGCTGCTCCACCAGGCTCAGCACACATCTCACGAAACAAAGTAGTAGTAAAAGACATAGCCTTGCCGTTATCCTGGGCACCAGGTAATAAAAGGTGGACACATTGTGAACATATCGCAAAAACAGTATAAAACAATATAAGACAATTGATGTGGCACTTGTGCTTCAATCAAGACGCATGTTTGCTTGTTGCACGTAGCCCTGTTTGCTATCTCCAAGAGGTCTGTACTTCGATCGTTTGCTGGTAGCAACATTGATAAACACAAAACTTCCACACGGCGGACCAGCAGTTGCTAGTCCGCCTTCCTTCGTTCGTAGTACAAGTTGTACAGACTTCAGGAAGCCGACCCTTGGTGACTGACAGGTTCAATTTTATTCATGTTTTGGTATCACTGCATGTTTGTATCGGAAAAAAAATAAGGTTGAATAGATTGTACTGTACTTGAGGTGTTTTGAGAATCTGGCGTGCTTGTTATATCCCCTTCCACTCCATCGGTGGCCACATCAAAGCCTTTCCTCAGTTTGAGCTCATATTGGATACCAATATACCAATCTGATAAAATGCAAACTAGTTGGTTGCCAAACACTGTAGGCTAAGCATCGTACGACTTCAGGTTGTTTTGATCTTAGCAACAAGCATCTGGGCTTGACCACGTTTCACTGAATAAAAACTAAGGCTGGTTAGATTTCATCGTGATATTCCCCCAAGCTGCATTTGTTCCCAAAATCCACATTTCCAACCCTTCTCAGTGAGGACAGCGCTGAAGGCAGTATGTATGGCTCCTTGTCCAGAAAAGAGATCGATGTTCCACAAATCCTCGGAAAACAGGCAGCAGAAGGGCAGGGGATATAACAGGGGAGAACATGGGAGAACTGTATCACTGATGCTCAAGTTGGTTTTGGGTAGCATGGCTGTTAAATTCCTAAGTCTGTAACACGATGGGCCAGCTCTCGCGGCGAATTCTCCACCACATAGTCTATGCAATGTAAACTTAGTCAAACAGATGCACCCAAAAGAAATTTGGCTGACCGGATTCGAATTCTGACATGTTGATTGCTTGTTGGATTGTACAATCATGCGGCCATGCTGCAAGACTAATGGTGCACCAAGGAGTACCAGCAACTGTGATGCTCTGGCACTCAATGCCAAAGGAGACCCGGCTGATCGGGGCATGGTCAAGGGCAGCGAACCCCGGGTGTTTACCACTTAATGCATCGTGTGATCCAAAATGCTGCATTTTATAATCCAGGGTTTTAATTTCATTTCAAAGCAATGAAATCAATTTGCTTCACATATGGCTAGATTCAAAGCTTGTAGATCGCAAACGTATTTTCACCTGCGCCATGTACCCCGACTGGCACAGCCAAAAGTAGTGTGGAATTCACACAAGATAGATTGGGACTGAGGCTAGCTGGGGGTTAGCCCTGACCTACAAGGCTCTTCAAAGTGATTGAAGATAACTTATAGTGAATATATGATTGCTTGATGTCGATCGATAAATGTTACTAAGTAAACATTTTAAACCAATAGACCCTCATTCTTGCTAGGCATGTACCCCTCTATGCTAGCCAGTCGCAGTTGTCAACACCGACACAGGTGCTCTAGCCTGTACTGGTTTCAGTATCAGGAAACATCGTTAGAATCTTCCTCATTGCCCAAAGCCTCCCATCCTGCCAGCTGCTTAGCCATAGACCACCTTGCGCTGAGGAAGGGCCAGTACAACTATACAATTAATTCAAATTCATCATCAGATAAAAATTGGGCTCACCATAGTTGTGATTGCTATATAAGGTCCCAACGCTTTCAAGATCCCAAATTTGGCCCATGACAGGCTGACACCCTTGCGAGTATTCAC